TCCCCAGAACTGCCAGATATCTGAAGTCCTCCAGCATTCCATGTCCTGAGCACAACTTTAATCTATCAGTTGGCTAAGTCCCAACATTATCACTGGTTAAACCACTTAAGCAATCCATCTTTCAGCTTTTTCACATGGACAATGAGGTATGAATTCTTATCACTATGTATAAAGAATTTTAAAAGCTTTAGATTTAGAAAAAAAGACTAAAGTGCAGTGTACTTGCCAGCACCTTTTTGCTGTTTTGGTATATAATATATACTGGAGTGATTTATGCAACTTAGAAGTTTATAAAAATAATGAAACTAGTCAGTCATAGCTTATTCCAGTTATAACTATCGCATCACAGCTCAACAGAACTGAAACTTAATTATCAATTAAGGTAAGATTTCTAGCCCTACTTCTGCCAGTATAGATGCCTGCATTTCGTTTGTCGTCACTGTAGGTAGAAGCACACAACCCGGTTTGCTTATGAAACTGCAGACCTGCAGCAGTGTAGGGAGACCCAAGTTGGCCCCATGTACCCACAGTTCTACTGCTCCCCGCTAGAGCTGCTACACCCGTATATCGCTGTGGCTGGTGCCCACGCTAACGCGCAAGTTGGGTGAGCAGTACGTCGAGCTGTAGATTGAATGCCCGTGTACTTGGGCATTTCCCCTATCTATGTCAGAGTGGTTTGATCATCAGCTGACACCATTCAAAGCTTAGCAACTACATGCTGGTGGGCATCTTGCTGAAGTCAGATAGGCTTGAGTATTCCAAGGACACTCAATTGCACAGATTTAAAACATACTTGTCATTCACAGCCTTGTGCAGACGCCATCAATTCTATGGGGAGGGATGTGTGGGAAATCTTACTCATGTTTTCTGTTGCTTTGCTTCTTGCTGGTCTTACAGAACAAAACAGCTTTTGCACAGATCAGCCTCTTTGGTCAAGGTTTGGCTAAACACCATGTTGAGAGGAACTCCACCTAGACTGATGGAATGAGGATGATAGATACATTTACTTTATTCTCTACTCTGCTGCTAGCTCATGATGGAACAGAAAATATGGCTTCTTAAATAAGTATTAATAACTTTCAATTAAAGGCAGATTCAGGAGACAAAGAAATAGGAATATGAAGCTTTTGAGTAAATAATTTTAAGTGCAGCCATCTACATTGTCATCTATGCAAGCTTGCTCCAGAAATGCAGTACTCTACTATGCATTAAAAATGTAAGTAATAAATAAACAGTAACTTAAAAACTGAATAATTGTTAGTAACTCTATGTAATGATTTTCGCCCTGGGTTAATATTTAATTAACACACAGTTAAGACATCTGTGAAAGCCTGGTTTAGATCAGCTTTGTTATTTCTATATTATAGCACAAGAGATCTGAATAAATGTAGTAACATTTTATTGATCACAAACATAATACTTCTTTCAGCAATTAAAATGCATGATGACACATATGAACAAAGTGAAAACAAAGCACAACCAAAAAATAACTTCACATTTTTTCCATTTCATTCTTAGTGTAAGCAATAAATACAATGCCATAGCTTCTATTATTTACAGAGCACGATACTTGAATGTTGCCTGGTTTCCAGCCCAAATGTTTCATGACATGAAAAGGAGTACGTGTTGCAACATTTCTACAGCCAAATAATCTAGCAGATCATCACAATGAAAAAATATATAGCATAAATGCTAACATTAAACCAAACAGAAAACCTAAAAAAAACCAACTCAGGGGACCCTGCAATGGAGCGTTTTATTAATTGAAGACAGTAGCATTAAAAATAGACACTCCCCCTCGTAAAATACTAACATGCTGGCATTATAGATAACAAATATAAGACAAGTATTTCTGTAGCCCCTGTAGATTGATACAATAAATCCTTACTAAATAACAAAAAAAAATAAAGCGCATATAATAGCAGATAACTGTTTGCATGTTCAAAGTAATCTCACAGCCCCACCAAAACAGAGTTTACTTCCATCCCAGAGAATACTGATGAGGACGACAACATTCTGTAAAGTAGAAAATAAGCCATAAGAAACGGGCATAAGGGTTTGATTTTAATTTATTATGACAGAAAAACATTTTAAGCAGCAGACCCTTCTCTTGGTTGTGTAGGAACTGAAAAAGGTGAGGTAAGAAGACAAAATAGGGAACTTATATTTTCCAATGCAAAATAGGAAATAGGTTAACCTTATGAGGAAGGAAGAAATGTAGCTCTCCTATGCCATGTAGCCCTCCACAGCCACAAATATTTTCTTGCACATCCAATTGGACGTATGTTTCTATTCCAAAGTGAAGACAGACATGTGCCTAGAAGCACGCTGTGATTGTCCACCTAGAAGTAGGACAATTTCTGTGGAAAAACAGTTTTTCCTCCTAAATCACCCTTACAAGTTTCCCTAACAGAGAACAGGAAACAATTAATAATGAGTACTTTGCATTAAATGATGAAAATGTATAGGCTATTAAATTTGAACTGCCTAGCTGAGAAGGAAGCTTAATTCCAAATCTAATATTGTATCACACTCTAAACCATCACATATGTTTTAATTAAAACAACCCACCAGGTACCCTTGAAATAATTGTCTGATAATATGCCATAAAGGACTTCAAAGCACTTTTAAATGGACAGCTATCTGCCTGGGCTTTGATTCTCAGCTGGTACCCATTCATTCAGAAAATGGAACTCAAGACCGGTTTATACCAGTTGATGATCTGGTCCCCCAAGTGGAAAGCTGCTATACCAGAGCAGGGATTTTCTGCACCACTAACATTTTCAGAACATTGCACAGATTTTAAGTAAGTAACAACACAGACCAGCAAGCGGAGCTGTAACCAACCTCTAATCATGTTGTGGCAGATACCATTACTGTATTCTTACAATTCAACAGATTGTGACATCTGATTGCCAAATTTCACTCTATTCTAAAGTACAGAATCCAACCAATTTTCAAATCATTCCCATCAATCAACCACACAGCCTTGCAGAAGGACAGAAATCTTGATCACTGCATCCTAGCTGAGATTCTATACTCGAAACTAGATCATTAACAAAACGCTTTCAAACTCCAGACACAAGAACTGAAAAAAAAAAAACAACTGGAAAGGTGCAAGTGGCATGATCTTACCACATCCTCCTAATGTTTCCCTTCTAAATACAAAGAATTTAAAGCCTTATGAACTCAAAAAACCAATAAAAACTGTGACAGTAAACTAACTAGATGCTAGAAAAGCTTACAGAAAGGCTACTGACAAAAATGTGTAAATGTTAAAATCAAGCTGTTCGTATTCAAAATTAAGCATTTAAAATGGAAGTGGTCTCAGAAAGAACCGTCTTTCATATTTTTTGACTGGCTTATGTGCACCAGATATACATTGCTTATCATAACAGACTATCAATTTCAGCATCTGCTTTACTTCTTTTCCGTTTTGTTTTTTTCCCCCACTTGAAGCACTTATCTGCAAAATAAACCAATAAAATCTTTCTCTACTTGTGTGATTTTTAGTAAGACTTTTCTAAACTTGCCTCATACCATGCCCTCTTTTCTTGAGCATTTTTGTTGTTTCACTCAAGAAAAGTACTATTTCTTTAAAGCATAAAAGTTTGCAAAACCACAGATGGCTATAAAGACATGTTTTCTCAAGCCCTTCCTGACAACCTCCTCATTTTCAGTGAGACCTTTATTTACCAGTAGAACCGAAGAAACAACTTATAAAGTACTGTTCTAAGCTAAGTAACTGAGATAGAGGTTCAGAATCAAGCACTCCAAAATAATATTAAAATTCTCAATCTAGAGAGTTTTGAATCTTTATAAGATAAACTTCATATTGGATTTTTCACATAAAGACAATTACTAACATTAGTTTGCTTAATTAGTCTCAATCTTATACGCTGGCTTTAAAGGTAGTATGTCATTTGCACTGCATTCAGTCTTGCATGCTATTCTTAGACGAAAAAAACGACACAAAATTAATCAAAACTTTGCCCCAAAGATGAAGGAAAAAATTGTCAAGCATATGGCCAGGGGAGTATTTAAAACCAAACCAAAACAACAACATGACTACAACAAATTCCGCACATGATCTTTTCCCAGTTGGGTAAAAGCCTTAAGCATCCAGTGAAGTTTCATCAGCTTCAATTACACATTAGTGTCTGGAAGGATTTACACTTATTCAGGTTACTACTTTTGTTTCTGGCAGTAAGGCTTCATCGATCTTGTTTGTGTTAAAGCCAATAAGAAACTTCTATAAACTTGAGAAGAAGGAGACACTCCTGTATATGAAAAGATAAATAAAATTGCTCAAAGCTTGCTGTAAAGTCTTATATTGCAGTACAGAAGTAAGTAGAGTCTCACACTTGTATTGGTGCCTCTATGCTTGATTTAAAACAGTGGAAAAAACAAACTGGCCAAACCAAACCATCAATATCTTTGAGTCTGTTATCTCAGACTACCTGTTGGGCTTTTGTGACAGTCAAATGCTGGACACAAAATTAACCTGCACAATCTAATGCTATTATTGCACCTACTTTAACCATTTTCTTTTGTTCTGTTTTAGGTTGAATTAAGACCATACAGTATTGTATTTACACTCTAAGAGTCTATAGGCAAATGAGGTGGCTTCAACACAACAGAGTCTTATACAAACTTCCAAGAAAATAAGAAATTCTTCATTGATTCCCTTTTTGTACAAAAAATTGCCAACTTTGTCTACACAGTAGAAACTGAAGAGGCAAAGTTTATATCCTTATATAAATGCACATACATATATAGATACATGTATGTACAGATGTACATACTATATAGATACACAGAAACACAAACGTATGTATATGTACATACATATGAAAAACGTGTTGGTTTAGTTTGCATCATTCAGGAGAAAAACATATCCCAAGTTAGGTAAAATCTTCTGGCTGCAAAGTCATTAAATCCAACTTGGAGTTCATGAGCTACGAGGGTAAGCACGCTGGGGTAGGCCAAGCCCTTGGCAGTCAACCATACAGCTTTTCAGTTTTTAAAACAACGCTCTCCATGTCATGGTAGCCCTTCCCATTTAGATGTTCACTGGTGCAGTCGTGATTGTAGCTGTAGCCTTGAACATCGCTGATTGATGACACAGTGTAGGAAGCGGTGCGCATAGCATCCGAGTGGCTGAAGCTGTGCTCAAATTGGATTTTGTACTGATTCCAGTGTCTTCGCAAAACAGCTTGGACCTAGGCCAGAAAACAAAAAGAAATGCACATAGACCACTTGGAAAGATACCACTGGACTTCATTCTTTGATGAATAAGCATCATAATAAATGTGTCTAAGCAAATCAGGTAGTAAGGCTCAGTAATCCTGGAAAATGGAGGTACCAAGATGTGATCTGTCGTATGAGATGTTCTGAAAGATTGACAATTTAAGGCGGCATTATTCTTCGGCAAATCTGGTGCAAAATAATTACATTTTACAATTGTAGTGTACTAGTGGCTCAGGAAAAGCATGGATTACAGGAGAAGCAGAAACACAATTTTCTGCTTTCTCCCCTACGGACTGAAGTCGAGTGTGGACACATCAGATTTACAGGTGAAAAAGGTTCTTTCTATTCACCCTTATATTCAAAAGGCCACGTCCTCAGCAGCTGTAAATTCTTATACTCTCAACAGACCATAATTTACATTTGCTACGGTTCTGGCACAAGAAAGCTGTTCTTAATTTCTGACCATACCTTAATCAAAATAGAAGGACAATTTCCCCATCTCTGTACTTCTACCAGGGTTATAAATAAAGCTGATAAAACAGCTGAAGGCCCCAGCTGGTTTACATGTCTCCACTGAAAGGATGTTACATTGTAGCCCTTCCTCTCCTACAATATGGTTAAACACCTGTGCATATTGGATTGATGAAGTGTCACATTCATGAAACTCACATGGAATTAGTTTTTCAGTGAAGATGCCAAGTGTGGAATGCTAAGAATGATCATAGCTATTGTTGTTGCTTTTTCAAGAGATTTTTTTCTTTTAATGTTAAAAAATTCTGACTACAGTTCATGAATCTTTCCTTTCCTTTTCAGCCAAATTTTGTACACAAAGTATTCCTGTAATGACTGGCAAGGCACTGACTTTCAGGAAATGCTGGGAGGACACTGACACTCACATACATCCAGGAGTGCACCCCAAATCACAGCCTCGTTCACAAGCATGACCTGCTTGTCACTTTGCTACATACAGAAGAACTAAACAGCGATTCCTCCAGTTAAATGTTGATACTGTGGGTAAGTATTTTTAGGATTTTTCCCTATGTCTTCAGGGTTTCTTTTGTGTTTGCTTTACATTTCCCTAACACAATGGCTTCTTTTGTCTAATTTTACTCTGACTTTAATTATGAAAAATAAAAATAAATAGAAGAAAAGGGATGTAATTTTTAGACTTCCTGCAGTGTGGTATTAGAATCCTTCCTTTAAAGGAGAACTTCGTATTTCTCAAAATCCTTACAAACAGAATGTAAAAGGGTAAGGGAAGAAGTATCAACTGAGCAGCATAAGAAATTAGTTTTGTAAGGCAAGAGAGATGTTCTTGTACTGGTCACAAAACCATTCCAATCCACTCAAAACATCTAAACACAAATCTACAAACACTGAAGAGAAATCAAGTGTCTTAATAGTAAGAAGAGCTTATCTCATCACTCTTCATATCAAAATTCTGTATTCCTTCTGACTCTAAAGGGAGAGCTCTTGTTTCATCACAGGAAGTTTTTGATTAATTAATTTGCATTGCATGGCAATATACATCCTTAAATCTTCACATGGGTTGTACCCAGTTCCTGTAATCGCTCATAAAGTCAAGAGAAGAAGCATATTCAAAAATCCATCTTTTCTGGGAAGGAAGCTTAGAGTTTATTTCTAAATCATATCAAACAATCTGTGCTTATCACTAAGCTATGTTCCATTTGTTCTCCTTTCCGTGGTCAATTACCTCAGCAAGATTAGTGTTTTATTGTAGACACACGCTCAGAAAATTAAATATTGAGCAATTTTCACTTTAGAAAAGATGGGCAACAGGGATGAGATGGGAAAACAGCAGAAACTGCAACTAATTGGCTTAACCAAGGTCAGAGAAGTCTATTGGCAGAGCTGGGAAATAAACTAGACTTGCCAAGTTGCAAAAAACCCTACACTCAGGTCCTCTCCCACACTTCCTTCTGGTTGCTTCAGCACCACTTCTTTGTTCGTCTTATTTTCAATTCTTAATAATATTTGTAAACCAGTCCTAAAGGACATCAGTCCCCATAGCTCAGGAGAGCCATCAGTATCCCTGCAAGACAAGTGCCTTTGGGCTACTTCTCGGAGCAAACAGCCTGTTTTGCTTGCTCTCTGGCCAGTGACATTGCTATAAATAGCATTTCCTGTACAGGCAAACACCACTTCCTCTATGCCCGCCCCAGTGCCCATCACACTCTCTCGGTGCATTTGTAACTAAGCCACGTATTTCTGGCATTCTTCCCAAAGCCCCTCTGTTACTGCTGAATCTGTACTTCACCTCTGTCCTACTACACGTCTATTCTCGTAGGGTATTACAGCCTTTCATTTCTTATTGCTGTCTTTCAGTCTTCTCTAAACCGTCCAGTCAATCGTTTACAGAAGCAGATGGGAAAAATCAACGGGACAACTAATTTTCACCACTAATTGTATTCTTTTTAACAATATGTGTGTCTACCCACGCAGTGAAAATAGAACTTTTATCACTCTTCCCTCAGCTTTGAGCAGTTGCACAGAGCTGTAAACTCAGCTCAGGAACAGTAGCACTTCGTGCTTTGTTATAAAAAGGGATATTAAGCAATGCATTTAATGAAAGAAAGTAATGTAATAAATATAACTGTATTTCTCAATAATTAATAGAGATGCCAGTTCCAGCTGGAAGATTCCTGCTTTCTCAGATTATTAGTTAGTAATGTTTCTTTTTGATCGGTTTTCGTGAAATCAGCTCTTAAACACACTAGTAGCTTGACGTTCAATACAGCACTAATTAAACAGCTCACTACCCAACAAGGAGGAAAACACCTCCCACCACACAACCTAGCCTGTTGACAAAGGGACTGCATAATCCTGCAGACCTGAGACTACAATCTTTACTGCAACATTTCTGTAGACCAGTGGAAGGAAAGGAAAAAACTAAACCCCTCAAACCTTACACGGATAATGTAGGTCATTATTATCGACTGTTACTGATAGCGCAGTAAGAATCTTTCTACTGATTTATTGGAGATCTGGGACAAGTTTCTCCTCTCACTGCAGCCTATGTCACCCCAAAGGCTGCTCTAGGCCAACCCAAATTGGAAAACATGATGAGGTAGTCGAGAAGCATCTTACTCTGTGGGACGGTGGGACACAAGCAGAATGTAAGTGTCCTTAGGGAAGCGCTGCCACAGAGATAAAGATGAAGGGTTTGCACTTACGCCTTTGGCTGTAGGAGATGTGTGACGAGCAGCTGCAGGGCACGTTAGAACTGGATTTGACAGACCATCCCCAGCTGCACTGCTCAAGAAGTTTGGAGATGTTCCTTGGAAAGGAAATACCAGCTATTTTTTTTACGTTTCTTGGTTTCTTTTCACTAGAGCTCTCTGTTAGCAGACTACTTTTATTCACTCTTAGACCAGGGGGATGGCCTGCAAAGCACCACTTCAACAGAGCGGAGCTCTTGATATTTGATAGAGAAACTATTAAAAGGTACAGTAGCAGCAGGCAAATGCTAAGATTTGGACAGAAAGAAATCAGTGCTTTTAGTGTTTTTAATTGCTAATACCCCACTGGAAAATCTTCACTCCGCTGTCACTCAAAGTGTCGATTCCAATATCAGTATTCACCTTTAAGACAGGGACTTGCTGCAGACACGCGTTAACATCACGTTAATGGTGTCATTCTGTATGGTTTCTAACGAGGTGTTGCTACGACAGGTGATGACGAAGCAGCATCTTGTACACAACAGCGAAGGCACAGTCGCAGGCTTTGCTCAGGCACTGTTACGACAGTCGCAGACTATAACAGCACGAGAACACACGTGTGCCTGCAGGCTCACATGCCAGAAGCAGAATCTCTTGTAGACAAAGGAAACACTTTTTTTTCTGTGCAGACATTTTTTCCTAACTAATCATTCTCCCCATGGATTTCCTTACTGATATAGTTGTTTGTAAAGCAGTAAGTCCCTTCTCGAACAAGGTGTAATTAAAAAAAAAAAAAGAAGTGACTAGTGGTCATTGAAGCATTGAACCCAAATCTGATTTTAAAAGCATAAATTTCCACTCTTTAGAGAGCAAATACAGACACATATGTTTAACTGACAAAGTCAAGGCATAATGTCTAGAAATTAAATGCAAAATGACTAAATCTCCCTTTTAACGTTATCCTGCCGGCAGAAGTTCAGGAAGTGATTCATCTGTTACAATCTGCAGGAGATGTGGAAGAGCTCGTCTCTTACCACTAATTAGCCCATGGTGAATTTGGGACACTGAAGTAGTTGGATAACTTGGATTTGCTCTCCTTACGCAGCAGAAGACAGCGTGTAAAAAAATATGGGTTTGTAATAATGAAATATTAACAGATACAATTCTTACTGACTCTATAATGTTTTTAATTAGGGTTTTGACTTCTTTAAGTAATAAAGTAGCCTCAGAGGATCTACAAGGATTAAAAGGCAGAGCTGAGCAGCAGACAATATTGTTTCATAGAAACTGCAGAGATTTTAAGGGTTTTTTCCCCTCCCCATTTTGCACTGAAGCAGAAAAAATTCTCTGATTTTTTTTCCAATATCTGTTTTCAGAAGGCATTCTGAACTATAAAATCTAGAAAGAAAAGAGTGTATGAAATATCAATGCTGAATGTGGGCACATGATTAAATTAGATCCAGAATGTTTAATGATGTGCTTTGAATTCTGCTTTCAGTCAAAGACATAAGCAGGGACTTGAGCCTGGATCTACTTTATGTTAAAAGCAGATCAAAACCACTGGCCCATGCCCACTAAACTGTGAGAAAGCCTCTCTTCATCCTTTCTGCCTCCTTAGCAAAAAAAAAACCCCCAAAACAAAACTCATTGAGACTCATACATTTCTGGGGGGAATAAAAATAAACCTTGAAACGCCATGGAAGTTTCATTGCAATTCAGACAGCTTTGGACTTAGGAAGAGAAGGAAGGGTGATCTGCTGGTCTGCATGAATCAGTTCTAGTATTAGCCAAATATTTACCTGTAACTAAGCATCACTGTCTAACAACAATTTATAAGCACACTGATACAATTTTCTATCATCTGATAAAAGAAACTAAGGGTTCAGTCACATGAAAACGTCTGGTTACTCCCACACATCTGCTCACAGCAACGTACTGCAACCACGCTAAATGTAGAACAGAGAGATGTGTAGGAATAAGTGCAGGACTGTAATTGTTCCTCTGCCAAAAGCGTTGGAAAAGTATCAGCTAGTTTTCTGGTGGGCAGTTCATTTGTTCTTGGGTAGAGGTGATTTTTTTTTTTTTGCAAGAGCCACATTAAATATTTTGTATATATATTTTTTTAGCCTTTCTACCTCTTTGATCTCTGACACTGTAAGGCGCTGTAAACATGCTCTCAAGCACAGCTCGGGGGCCAAAGTTTCTAGATGAACATCACTGTGTGCACTCCAGAGTTACTGGACCGTGATCTATTCAAGACAGCAGCAAAGCTTGTTAGCTTCAACGGGATCGTACCACAGAATAGTGAAACATGGCACAGTCCTCTAACATAAGAATAAAGAAGTCTGCTCTTGGAATTGACTGATGGTTCCTTAAAAGGGCACTTCTTATTCAACACAAAATTGTGACCCAAATACAACGAGCTATTAAGTTCTGATTTTTTGAATGATATTTTTCAGATGTGCTAAAAACCCAAGTTTTCCAAAATTTCAGCCTAAAATTTTCACAAAGACCTATCATAACTCGACAGTATCCCAGCACACCAACATGTATGTCATATGCTCTATTCCTGCTGCAGAAAGACCAGTACAGTGATTCCCCAGGAAAACAGATGCTATACAGCTTCTAACCTAGACAAATATACCTTCTGGATACTGAATTACATTTTACTTTAATATGGTATTTATTGAGAACTTCTATCAAAGTGACAAGTGTCTTCAATTCCTTATTCAAAAGACGTGTAATATTGCTCATCACAAAAAGAGTCCGTCTTAAAGTACTTAATGATACCCTGAACAACAGCATAGTCTTTCCCAAGCTCTGCTCTCAGCCAGATTTTTTTTTTCTTCAATTATTTACCTGATAAATTCAGATTTAGAAGATTTAAAAGCAATTACTTATAAATTACTATCTCCTCAATTGCTGAAAAAACACAAAAATATATAAAAAGGAAAAGTATCACAAATGTATTAAAAATTGTTACTCTACCTCTCCATTAAAGAAGCAGAAAATTGTAGCCACCAGTAGACCCTGTAAAATAAAACCAAAAAGATTCTGCTTTATTTCATATGCATATGAATCTTTTTCAGGCTTGAGATAAGGAGAGGTTTCTTATAAAATTCAGGTGTAGAAAGCAAAGAAAATGCAGTACAAATCTGAACTTGCTGAATTATTTCCAAAAACAGATTACTAAAAGGTATTGGGTCAGCGATCTACCATGATCTTTCTTTCCTTTAAGAAATGAAAATTCAGCATAACGAGAAAGTAAGTAGAGTCATCTATAAGAATACGCATTAAGGTCTTTAAAAATTAAAGCAACGCGATCGTTTCGCCATTGTTTGCTTCACATGCCAACTGCTATCTAGCTCAAGTGGCAAAACTGTTTAATGCTTCCTACCTGGTAGTGCATAAGGATGTGCATCACATAGTCATACACTTCTTCAGCGATCCGGCCTTCTGGTCGCCATGGAAACAAGACAAATTCAATGCCAAGTAGTGGAACAAGAATCAGGGTAGCTCTCACGGCTTTCATGTATAGGTTGGATTCTGCCTTGTGGGTGTCTTTCAGCTTCGTTATGAGAACACGGACAATATTTAGCAGGAAGAAAAGATTCACCTGTCAGAAAAGAAAATGACACTGAAGATTGTCTGAAAAAATAATCCCCCACACTGCTTTGGGATACTAAAAAGCTGAAACTCAAGAAAATTCACACTACATGGATAGCATCATGATTGTACAATAAACACGAGTTAAAACTCTTTAAAAACACCTTTAAGGAACTGAGGGCGGGCTCTAATATCTAAGATCCACGTCCATTTCTCTAACTCATTAAGCAAGTGCCATGCAGACAAGTGTCGGTCTTCCAGCGCTAATAATCCACGCACCTTTCTTTCTGCTGTCACAACAACAGTACACAGGCGAAGGATTGTTTTTTTAAAATTATTATGTCTTTTTAGGTTTGTCAAATAAGAGGATGACACTCTTCCCTCTTTGTATTTAAACACGGTTCTTCAAAAGGTACTTTTTTACTTTTCAAATATGAATTTGACAAGTTTACAGAGCAGAAAAAAATCAGATTTTTAAAAATAAATTGAAAGAAATAAAATTGGAGTCAAAATGCTGCTAACAAGGAACTGTGCACTCCTGTAGACAAACAACAGATTTCACATTCTCACAGTGGCCAATGGTTGATTTTTGCATCATCAGCAGAACTGCAAAGCAGGCAAGCACCAAGATGATGCTCCGCATTACTCATGCACTACTGAACTTGACTATTTCCATAACTATTAAGGCTTTTCTCGTTAACAGTGGTGTTTATCTGTTCCTTCAGTTTCACAAAAAAAAACAACCCCAAAAGCCCAAACTGAAATCACAACCATGCAGACTATCTTTCAACATGCGAGCACTCATTGTAAGCAACCACAAAACTGATATACACACACACATGCGTAGGTATATGTGTGTGTGCACTCCCCCCCCCCAACAACCTAAGGATGTGAGTAACCAGAGCAACAGTAGTGTCAGGGATGATTACACCATATTTTCATCTATCGTGCAATAACGGCAGAAACCAGAGCTAGCAGAGACCTTGAGAGCTCAGCCAGTCCCATCGCCTTGGCCAAGGGCAAGACAAATGCCGCTTCTGGGACCCACTACAAAAGGGAGAGACCTAGAGAGACCTGGCCCTCTTATTTCTTTTTCCGGACAACTGTCTGTCCTTGTCAACAACTCTCTAGAGACAAAAGCAGGGGAAGAAGCCAGCAGACAGACAGACAGGCAACTCCCTTCTAAAATGACTAGGAATTCCTAGTCTAGGGGAAAGCCTCTGTCTTCCTGCAGGAGAACTGCAAACGGGGAAGCCATTTCAGACCATGTGTGTCACCATGTCCTCCACAACCCTGGCAGAATTCTTTCATGTCAGTTAAGGTTTTCACGATAAACAACTGTGCATTGTTATAGCAACACAGCTCTTGACAGATATGTGATGTTATTTATATTCTACTTACATGCTATTTACATCATTTTAACAGGAAACTGTTTTACATAGAAAACTATGGCACGGATTTCTCCTGGAAGGCTCCAGCTACCTTTAAGCTTTGTTTAAGACACCGAGGTCTTCTGATTCTTTCTCAAGGGATTTATTTAGATTTTACGCAGCCCACGATCCTCATTCAACTTCCCATAGTACATGTAGACAATAAGTCCTTCCTCCATTTCTAAGTTTAGTCCTTCGCACTTAAATCTACTGTTTCAACATGAACATGTCAGTTTTCAGCCCTCTTGTGTTTTGGTAACATGGCCAATTCCTATAATACTGCCCTGAATGCTAACTGAAAATGAAAGTTGCAGCAGCCAGGTGTAAAATACCACCCAGCAAACTATTTCATTTACAACATGCTGAAACACACGGAATTTTTCTAGTTCTTCCACTTATCCACCAAAACCAAAAAGCACAAGAATAAGTATGCAAAGAGTTTGCAAATAGGTATTAGGGCAAACGGAAAAGCTGAACGAGGCAAAGCAGAAGACAGAGTTGAGAAGAGCAGTATGAGTGTCACGAAAAGTCTGCAGCACCAATTTTTGATGAATATCTCTTCTGTCACAAATGGAGTGAGATCAGGATGAACTGAATTCTTACTGAAAGTGATGAGAATAGGTCTTGATTTCAGCAAGGCAGTGAGTAGTTTTTTACTTTTAAGCGAAAGTAGGTCAGTGGAACTACTCGCATATATATTACCATCAAATTGACTGCGACAGTTTGGAAAGGCCCAAAGGAGTGCTGTTGTGGTAGCTGCAGTATGAACACATACTGTAATACTGGCAGCTCCACAGTGACCTGAAAAATGAACCAGGCAAATGAACAAAAACGGAAACAAAGGCAGAGAAGGCAATCCTAGATAAAAAGAAATGGTGGCACCTATACTAGGAACTTGGTAGAATTTGGGTTCTGCCTTAAGATTGGTTGTGAACTGAGCTTTTAAGTCAATAGCTGCTGCTATTCTTGAATTAAAATCTCCTCAGGTCCCTGATATTTCTACTTCTCTCCATGCTGAGTTTGTGCTAAGCAGTATGGTAATCCTTATTAGCATGTAGGTTTAAATTCTGTTTAAATTCCTCCTTAGGATGATGCAAACAGATCATTCTCAGCTCAAGAAACTCCAGTATTCTTAAATACTAGCTAGTAGCCACTACCTGGCTTTTAATACAGTTATGCAGCGTCAGATCTTTGCCTGCTTGAGCCTGCCTTGCTTGGGCAGGACATCTGTACGCGCTCATGAAGACGTTTTTTTATACTTGGCCTATGGACATTTCCAAGGCTGGGCACAGAAATGCTAAGCCTTCAACTTCTAAACTCTTAAGTCTTCTACTGAATCCAGCTAAGTCATTAAACAGGTCAGTGACAAAACTAGGAGCTCCTCAACTTCCTTCTAGTGCACGTTCACTGAGCACATTTACTTCTGCTAAAAGAATTTGCGTCTGTGAAAGGCTGTCAGTGTAAAACATTAATACATAATATTATTATAGGGCAAAATAAACATCCCCCGTAATATTATTCATACAAATAATGGCATAACTAAATCAAAATCTGCCCTTTCTGTGGCACGAATGCAAACTAAATCACCAGTGCACTGGCATGTCTGAAATCTACACTGAAATCACTACTGTTTTCACTAAATTTCAAACCCATTGCTTTTTTTTCCTCTTTCCCCACCATTTTGATCAATATTTCTCTAGTGCAAAAACTAACATCAGCCTCTACTGTTTCTTTCCCACACCATGTCTTTAATTGTGCTTGCTTAGGCAAACATTTGCAATTAAACATTCAACCGAAGACAATTCCAATCAAAACGCAACCTATGTGTGCTCCTATTTCCACTTTCTTTGGCGGGGATCTGACCACAGTTATGTAATAACAGGGACTGTAAAAGCAACGTTATTGTTAACTTTATGTAACTGCAGGATTTTCAGTGATGTACAAGAGTTAAATTCCCGCTGGTTTCTGCCAATTCCCCCTGGCACCCACTTAACAGTCCTCTTCCCGTTCTTTGAGATCTTGCTCCTGCAAGTAGAAACAGTGTCTTCTCCCTTGTTAATCTGATTTGCAGTTTAATATTGTTGCTTAAACGTCTACTAAAGCAGGTCATGCTTAGTAAAGTGTGAAAATTGCATCTGGCAAGCAAGCTGCTTAAGCAAATGAGGGTTCTGTTCACAAAGCCTAAACACATGCATTTCATCTTCTGTCTTTATCCCTGGCTTGTCTTTTCTAAACTGACATACTACTTTTTCGTTTTTACCAGAAAGGAAAGCAACTCCTTTAAGGTATTTTCACATCAAAGGCAAGTTGTGTAATTGTGTTTAATCCCTGTTATTCCTACACAGTTTTCAAATACATTTACTGATTCTACACAAGCAAGAAAAATGCAAGAGAAACATCTTCTGTCAGCTCATGAAAAATACAGGAATATCAAAGGTATACGTATTTGTAAATGGCGACGAGAACGGACAAAGATTCTGCCCAGACCAACCACATAGAGACAGTTATTATGCCCCCAATAAACTCAAAGGACATTCCTAGTGTTGCCTTGAGTGGAAAGAAGACTTGACAGTTTGAGACTGATCCAGTATATCTGAAAGCAGCCTTGCCACTGGTTTCAGTGTGACTTTGTGGAGACCACGGCTGGGAAGGAGAAAATAATCTTACATCCTAAAACGAGGTCACTTAATGGAAGATGGTATAGCCTTATAATTTTTACACAAATTTTTGTGTTGTTATTTAAGCAAGCTCTAATATAAATTATATCTCAGCTTTAATGAGCGTTACCTAAGTGATATATCTGTGAAGAGACACCAGGACCAAGGAAGTAACAACCCACAAGGTTTCTGGGTGCAATACAGCACCACTGAAGTGAGTAAATAAATCCTATCTCTTTCTATGAAAACAAGGTTTCACCTTCTGTGTAAATTAGAGGGGGAAAAGTTGAAAAGTTTTAGAATCGGTTTTCAGTTTATAGGTTAGAGTGCTAGTTGAAGCCTGTTTACATGAACACGTATGGCAGACCTGACTAGCAGGACAAGGGATTATCAGTAATAATTCAAATCCTAAAGGGCCATGGATCTCACTAATTTCATGGGGACTAGCCCTGGCTTCCCATGCAGAGGACTTCAGGTGTGTCATGGAATCAACACGACCTTCAAAATGTAAGCTCACCAGCTAATTTCGTTGTGAATGAAAACAGGTCACAAGAACCACAGGATTTATCCAATGGTTTTCAAAAAGAATTCTCTACACACAGAATGCCCTCTGCAAATATTCATTAACAATTTAACAGAAGAGAAAGTTCATGTAGATCTGAAACTGAAATTACTTCCAAAAAGATATTTAATTTTTTAACTCTTAATGAATTTCCTTCACCTGGGTCGGGCCAATCCTAGGCACTAATACAAACTGGGCACAGAGTGGGTTGAGAGTAGCCCTGAAGAGAAGGATTTGGAAGTGTTTATAGATGAGAAGCTCAACATGAGCCAGCAGTGCGCTCATGTGGCCCAGAAGGCCAACCGCATCCTGCGATGTATCAAGAGAAGCGTGGTCAGCAGGTCAAGAGAGGTGATTCTCCTACTCTACTCTGCTCTTGTGAGACCCCACCTCGAATACTGCATCCAGTTCTGGTGTCCCCACCATAAGAGAGACATAGATCTGTTGGAGCGTGTTCGGAGGAGGGCCACGAAGATGATCCAGGGGCTCGAGCATCTCTGCTACGGGGACAGGTTGCAGGAGCTGGGATTGTTCAGCCTTGAATAGAGAAGACTTCAGGGGGGACCCAATATCTGCCTTCCAATACCTGAAGGGAACTTACAGGAAGGCTGGGGAGGGACTTTTTACAAGAGTGTCCACTGATAGGACAAGGGGAAATGGGTTTAAGTTGAAGGAGAACAGATTTAGATTAGATCTTAGGAAGAAATTCTTCAGTACGAGGGTGGTAAGACTTTGGAATAAATTGCCCAGAGAAGTTGTGGATGCCCCCTCCCTGGAGGGGTTCAAGGCCAGGGTGGACGGAATAGCCTGGTCTTGTTGAGAGGGTCCCTGCCAATGACAGGGAGGTTGGATTAGATGATCTCTGAGATCCCTTCCAGCCTATGCCATTCCATGATTCTATGATTCTTTGCATGAACTGAAAAGCTACGAGAAAAGTCAGCAGACGTACACAATACCTTTGCCAAAGCAGTCTGAAGAGGTGACTGTAATATGCCACATATAGAATGCCTCTACACTGCAGCATTTTCTGCATTATGCATTCATAGATGCTAATTATGTGGACAGTTGTGTAAGGAGGTACATATTAGTATTTTCTTTTATTATGCACCTGTATCTATTTAGCAATATTCTATTGACTGAATTTCGTAGGTTAAATTCAGTCCTAGAATAACTGAAGTATAACATGAATTTTCATACAGTGGAGTCTTCAGTTACTTACCTAGAATTTAATGTCGTCAGCCAAGCATTCGCGTAACTGAGCTGGCATTAACTTGGAGCATCAGACGGAACACCGCGCTCTAAGAGTTCGTGAGGGCTAAGGAAGCAGAGGAGTTCCAAATCCCCAGTGACCAAAGTGCACCTTGCTAGGTTAGTACCAGGACAGGGGCAGTCAGATGCTTGCAGAACAATTTCCGCTGGTTCTTTCCCAAGGGCCGGCTCTAGTTTCTCTCCGTCTCACATTCCCGGCCACAGTCAGTCCTGACATTCAAGACCCCTCCTTCTGAACCTCAGTGAGGTCCAGTCTGGGAGCTGTTTGGCCACATTAACACAGTGACACAATGATGCTCGTAGTCAGGACAACCTGGCAAACGACCTGGGCAGTGAGAAAGAGTTCTCAGCTAAAAAGAGGATTTGAATGTGGCCTTCCAGTACTCCAGGTAACATTAGCGTTTAAGTGGGATGATAACCAACACTGCAAAGACTGAGTTTCTCAGAGGGCCAGGGGTATAGCTCCTTAATAAGGCCAAGCCTTGTGTATCTTGTGTGTCGAAGGCACTGACTGGGCTAAGCGAGAGTCCTGTGAACGACAGTGACCTCTGAAAGTTAGCTTTAGGCTGTTACCAACTTTATAACCTCATGAAGAACGGCCAGAAAACAAATTAAAAAAGCAAATTATTATCTGAAAAATGCCTACCAACAGAGCAGCACAAATAGGGCCATGGATGATGTACAGCAGATGAGTGTCAGAGCTGATCCAACAACTAGAGAAAACAAGCAGGAAAAGAAAAAAACATTTGACATTTTATTATCTGTTGTATTCCCTTTTTTCCCTTAAAGAAAATATAACAGTTTTGCAGAGCAAGTGGAGATTCTACTTACTTGTCATTATAATATAAACTTCTAGCAACGGCATGTATGCAGGCAGGGATCAGTGGAAAACCTGTGAAGAGAAAACAATGTTTTCTTCATATGTAAACCTGGCTAATAACCAAGTAAACTTGCATCTCTTGCAGGAACCTTCTCTATTTTCACCTCATGCAAACTATAAACCTGCAGAGCAAACGCAGTAACAAGGGCCAATTCCGTTTCTATTCTCTAAGCTTTCTTTGTGAGGGGTGTTAAGAAACCTCATTCCCACTGTCTTGCCAGGAAACTCATAACAACACAGTAAGAAAAGGCGAACCAAATTACAACTTTTTAGAATGCAACAATCAATGTTCATTAACACAGATGTTTATCAGACTGCAATCTGCAACAATGCTAAATAGGTAAGTAATATTAAAAAGTTAGCTGTATATACAGCCATAGCTTTAACAGCATGGTTATCAATGTTGATTATGTCCTCACTGACACTTGCTGGGTATTCAGAATGCAAGGTCACCTGCAAAAAAGATGTGAACACAAACTCTTGAAAAATCAGGCTGAATTCAAAATCTAAAAAGAATAAACAAATGAGTTATTTGGGGTCCTTGACACGCTGGTGGTACCTAGTTCTCAGAAACTGCTGAGCACCTATGATCTTTTAACCACATCCCAGTTGTCTCTGCAGTGGGACAGCTAGCGATCCAGGTATCAAATCACAGGACAGCTGAACGTGCTGATACACTGAAGCTGAGAAGAAAGCCCTCGCTCATGCTTTGTGAACACGCTGCTGTGCATTGTCTGAAATGACAGTTTGGCTTGGTAGTTTTGGTACTGATATTACTTGAGATCTTCAGCTACAGCTATTCTGTATTCGCTTAGTGAATAATACAGGTCAAATGGAACTGCTGAAAAAATAAATCCTCGGCCATCTCTAAATCAGTTCTGACCTTCCACCCTAGACATGGCGAGACTTCTCTGAAAACAAACATTCATTCCTGAATAAACATCTTTGAGATGAGGAACAATGAATAATTACTTCTTAATGTCTTTTTTATAATAGGAGACTATTTTCTCTATACAAAGGAGGAGTTGCTTCCTGACTCCAGAAACGCATAATCTCTCTCTCAGCAAAGATAGAGGTACATGCAACTTCCTATGTTAATATTTCTAAGCCTGTTAAAACACTACAGACAAAAGAGGGGTGTGTCATCGTTGTTCAAAGCTACCAGCTCAGAGAAGCAAAGGGACAGATGTTCAAATTCCCGTGAAAAGGAGGAAGAGAATGCACTGGCCTGAAAATACAGAACATGAAATTGCATACCCCAGCCAAGAAGGTAATACCACAACAAGTGTTGTTTCTCAGCAAAAACTGCCACCACAATGAGAGTATGCAGGTAAATGCCTTCACACAGCATCCAAAAGTAGTTGCAACCCATTAGGTACAGGTAGATGAACTGTGACACTTTGCAGCTAACCTGCAGAAAAAAAAAAAAGCAGAGTACAAGATAAAATTTTAAGTTGCAAGAAATTCCAGAGCTTTATTTGCAAAATGGAAAAAACACTGATTGAGTCAAATGTTAATGTTTATTATGTTTTTCACTACAATTACATTTTTATGTGTTTTATTAATAGAATTTTCATGGGATTACAATTCCATACATAATGGTGACAAAAAAGTTGGTAACTGAGTCTGTATTTTTATTCAAACATGAGGACCTCGAGATCCTCAAGCATGATGGCAGAAAGCTGTTACAATATTTTCCCTTATTTTAAACATTGCCACATTTGACCAGTCCAATCAATAGGGAGTCCTTAAATTATCTGATGGTAACAGCACAAGAAAACGCAGTTTGATGAGAGTAATCCCCTCTCAGTTCTACCAATCACGACACATAACCACTCCCAAGCATGATTCATGTTTTTAAAACATTTATACTTCCAATTTTAACCTTGTCATAACTGCACTTAGGGCCAGTTCAGAACTTGCATAGTAGGTTCTGCAAAGAGCTCTCTTGTTGGCATATATTTGCATTCAGCTTCATTCAGAAGAGAGTCTTCAATGGAAATGTTACAACGTAACTTATTGTGCAGACTGTAAGGTGAGGTTGTGAAAAGGAGCAATAGGTAACTTGCAGATTCTGACATGGTAGATTTTCCCTTATGAAATTGCTGTGTGTTTATTTGATCTATTTCTGGCACTTAGCTTAAAACAAACCAAAAATCAATATTGTTTTACCATGTTCTGCTACCTAACTCACTTAATGATGATTCTTAGCAGCTATCTCAAGCCTATTTTCTAGCATTTTGATGAGCTTTTACAGGAGAAAGAGAACATATCTTTTTACTTGATTCAGCTTCTGGAGTTTTGCCCTATCTTTCACAGAATTTAAATTTATCTTCCAGGTTTAAATAAAAAGGAAGCCAGAGTTAGAGATTTGTTTGTGTATTTCATTTTCAGGCTCTTCCACTGCTATAACTCCTAGCCTTTTTGTCGCAGCTGGAAGGCTTCAGGTGGCTCCAAGCAGACCAATGCTCTAATGCGAAGGCTTCAGGCTTACTCTAAGGAAGGCCCACACTCCTCCAAGACTCAGGAGGAAATGCCTCACCCTTAGAAGTAAACACCCTGCCTTAAATAGTCAGGAGTCACATGGTTTGCTAGATGGGTCAAGGCTATTGGTCACTTGACCATCCATCTCCCAGAGTGATTGGCTGAATGCTACAGCACCTGTTTCAAGGTAACTTTCCCAGTGTAACGAGCTACAGGTGTTTCTTAGTTAGCCTGCATAGGGAAGGAACTTTCACAGGATGCTGCAGCAGGGAGAGGCTACTGCTTCACACTTACCCCAGTATTAGCAGGAAGTGAGAGAGAGAAAAATCAGACCCAAATGGATGGCTTTTGTATTTTGCCTTTTACTTTTGGAATATAAGGGTCAGCTTTATCTCCCTTCACAAAAAAAAAATAATTCTTCTAATTTCAACTGAAGATGGCAAAACTAAAGCCACAGGAAAGCAGCTGACATCCAAATGACACTCCAAAGCTTTTTTTGCTGCCCTTCCTTGGTGAATTCAACTGTCATTAACCTCACTGACATCATATAGAATAGGTCACTCAGTGCAAAAGTGATTTGTACACATTCTGAAGAGCAGCTCAGTATGCTCTGTCTGTCTCTTAAAGTGTTTTTGCTATTTGGAAACCTCAAATGTGAAATACTGAAATCACTGTCAAACATCTGTTGTACCACGTAACACGGACACATCGTTACTGAACGCTTTAACCCCACTATATACAACATTTGATTGAGTATTTCTGTCTCTCATCTCTTCTGCATCGCTGAAGTTTTTCACACACAAATCAACAAGGCTGCCAAAGATACTTGTACTTACTGGATTAGTTGCAACTAACTCCTGATTGTTGGCAACTGCAGTCAGTGAAATTATCGTCACAACAGAGTTGCAAACAAAAGAGAAAAATAGATTTTTATGCAGGGTAATCCTTTGGCAACTCAAGCTCCTAGAAAAGAGAAACAAGACCAAATGAATGCGCTGGGGAACAATTATGTGTACTTGGGGACAACTGTGAAATTTTGAAATACTAAAGTTCTTTATTTTATTAAGAAGTTTTACATCACCCCTTTTTTCAGCTCCAGTCCAAATTTAATAGAATGATGTGAAAGGTAACACCTTCCCTTAACCTCCATTTTTTGGACAACAGGAGGCAACACAAATATTCAGCTCCAATATGTTACACAATGAAGGACTGAAGGACTTGCTTTGTAATGGCTATTGAAAAAGTATTTGAATAGCAGTAATATAATGCGTTTCAGAAGATTTATACCTTTCTTTAATAGCCCCTGAAAAATTTCCAAATTATTATACCTGAGCTTGAAGAAGCTGTCTTATCCTACACTTCCATTTACCTAAACCTGCTAAAATTTTTTGAGGATAATTCTCTTTTACTCACATTCTTGTCATTTTTCTTCCTTAATCCTATAGCTAGAGAAATACTCACATAAGCAAAACAACACAAATCTTACCTTGACTTTTTGTATATAACTAAGTATATAGAATACAACTATAAAATACAATATATAACTGCATTTAATTGTGCTAATTTTCCAAGTTTGCTTTTAATCTGGCAATAAAATCAAAGAGAAAATTATCTTGCTTTTTTTTAAATAGAGGTTCAAGAATATTAAACAACACTCGAAGTTGAACATAGTTGCAGTGAATTTCTGTTTATCTGCCATTCTAGGAAAGCAGGTCTATCTTAGTATCATTGCAAACAGTAGGAGTGGTTCTCATTCAAGTTTTTCCAAAGAAATTCAGCTCTACAGACAAACACAAAAGAAGACAGCAAGCCTATATGGATATATATTCAGATCATTGGGGTATGAAGGCTTAATGCTCAAAAAGCAAGTAACATCCATTTTGTTATGAGAGAAGATGATCAGTTGACAAAGATGGGTAAAAACGAGCCTTTTAGATTTAAGACAGGGTGCACGTGCACAGCACATACGAGCAGACTGACTCCATCAGAGTCACACAGCATGGCAGTGCCAACAGGCAGGAACAGAGCCTGGCTTTGCAGGGTGAGCGTTGCTCAGAGAAATATCTCCCACACGCACAGAGAAACAATAAAGACTGTGGTGCTGTGGTCACTCTGAGGAAACGCTCTTGGGTCACTTCAGAGAAAGCATCTACCGTGCTGTAAAGTCTGTGCTTTACAGCCACACCTACCCACCTCTATTTGATAAGTCAGCAACACAGAGTGCAGTTGATTGACCACATGAAATGACTAACTCGAGGAGGAAAATCTATTACTTACACATGCAACTTGCTCTCCACTGTCAGAGAAATCAGAAATACATTGACCAGGTCAGCAGAGGACAAGTCTAAATTGTCATGGGGGGGGAGTGGGGGTGGGGAATAAATAAAGTTTTCTAGCCTTTTCAAACAGCATGCCTGGAAGAAAAGATAAAGTATAGACACAGGTGATTCATTTTTAATTTGGGAGGGCAGGAGGAAGAAGAATTTTGTATTTTAACACAGTAATGCAGATATGGAATAGTCATCAAAGCTGGAGGAGTATACTGAAATCTGTTGAGAACATGATCGATGAAACAAGAAAGGAAATGACCCCAGTGAACAAGAGAGACAGTCAAAGACGACTGGTGGTAGAGGAGACTGCACTTCTTGGTTGCATTCTTTGCAATTATCACCAGAAGAGTGTATGAAGCAGCCCACAGAGACATGGAGTAACTTCCCAGGTTCAGACACACACAGTGCAATACCGTGAATCAGGCAGAGTTTCTGCAAATCAAGCCTCAGAGCCTTGAGACATTCTAAGCCTCATGTCACTAAACCTGGAGGAAGGAAACCACTCCAGAAACTAGTGCTGCCATGCAGGACGAGGAACTACCCTACATGAGCCTCTGTTTGCCAAGTGTTATTTGTCCAAAGAAAACAGAAAAGAAAAAGGATCCAAAATGCAGAACAGAGTTTTGGATATGAATTAAATGATGAAGTACATTCTATTAGGCTTCTTTAAATTTTATTCTGTCTTTGGTTTTAATGTCCAAAACACATAAAGCTTTGATTATTATAGCATGCTGACTGTAAGTTCTTTGAATATGTTTTGTTGGTTTTATTTTTCCCTGTATGGTTTATATACGAAAAGAGAGGCAACACTAGATTCCAGCTAAGGCCTTTGTGTAAACAAGTCCTGAAGAACTCTGGAATTCTGTCTGCTTATTGTTAAGATTCAATGCACAGGCAAGGAAAAGCACGTACAGCTAATGGGGCCATCTCTCAGGGTCATCCAGCAGCTGTTCCTGTCGAATATTCAAACACACCCATCCACACCCACCTCCACCCATGTATAAAAGGATTGAAAAGGATCACTGGACAAGAAACAAGAAAGCAAGACTGATGACATTTAAAAACGAAGACTGCTTTTGGTAATAAAAGGAATTTTTCCCAAGCCTCCCCACCCTCCCTCCTCTGTCACCCTTCCTATATTCCTTTTTCTTACTGTTTTTCTTAATGATATAATATCCTTTAATCACTTAATTCTCATAATTGTGATCTAAGAACATGTGAATGGCCTACCCCTGGATTAAACTACGTGCAGTAAAATAAAAACAGACCTGCTATATTACTTATTTTCCTTCCTATTTTGACTCGCGTGTATCTTAGGCATTAGGGAAAAATTAATCAATCTATCATCCAGTTTTTGCCCATTCTCTAAGCCCCGCATTGCTATCCTCAGTGCTGTCATGTGATTTGACATGATCCTTGATCAATAATCTGAGTTTTTTTCAGATGAGTAGTGTTTTGGTTTGTTTTATTTTTTGCTTAGGGGTGAGGGAGAGGCATCTTTCAAATTTCCACTTTCTCTGAAATCACTGTTCTTTTAAGCTTTCTCTTACCTTCTTTTAAAATAGTCATTTTTCATGAAGAAAAACAAGATTTATGATAAACACATGTATGATTTAGAGTACATAACAGAACGAGAGAAAACAGAGCCACTAAAAGAAGTTACTTCTATGTGTCATGAACTAATTTTCAGAGAGGAAGATCACAGTTCCAAGTTTATAGCCCATTTTACACTATTAAACCAAGCACTCCAATCCATGTGGGAAACACAAGTCACAAACTGGACAAGTATTTCTCATGAAATAATTTTCTGAAGAAAAAAAAAAGAATTTAAAATGAAAAAATAAATGCACAAAAACATTTAATCTTGAAAAGTCAAAGATATTTGAAAAAAAACTGTCTTTTTTTCCTATGGAGAAAAGTACCACCTTTCTTGTCAAACCTGAAGAGACACTAACGGTCAGCAATCCAGCAAATGTCATCTGGAAACTATCAATCGACTAACAGAATAAATTCTTTGGAAACATGACAAATTCAAAGGCATCCCTACACAATAGCAAAAAAAAAAAAAAGGCCCACCTGTTAAAGCTATGAATAATTATACAAGCTTCAGCCGATACCTAATACATCCTGGTATTAATCTAGATCCTTAAATACCCTTCTGGTACTAAAAATACCATAGAGGAACTGTACATCCCAAGAGAACAGCTTGTAGAGGACTTTCTTTAGCTTCCTTTAAATTTTGTAATTTCCTTTTATATCCCAACATAACCACAGTCTAGAGATTGTGGTTTGCGGGTCTGGATTAATTCCATGCGGTTCTCTGAGGAGAGATGATCTTTCTGCTAGAGGGAGGGAAAAATCCCTGGAGAGTTAGACAAACATGACAGCTATAACGGTAGCAAAGGTAGCGCTTGCAGTAAGTGCCACAAGCCAATACAAAATTAGCTTGGTTTTCACATTATAGTATAGAAAAACCCTGATTTACTGTCTCTGAACTTTTAAAACCATATCGTATTCCAAATCTTTTTGTCTTCTCCTGAGAAGTCTATGTCAAAGCATTTTTCCTGTCACATTAGGTATTTAGTCTGTGGAACTTTTTGTGACATTTGTATCAACAGCATAGCCCTTTTTTTATGTCAAATCAAGCTTCTTATAAGGACTCGGAGCTATTTCACATGTTGATTTTGTGAAGTGAAAGTGAATTTGGAAGTGGGAAGCATTGTTTTTACAGGTCACATGCAAATAAATGTACTAAAAACCACACAACTGTTTTGGTTTGTCCTCATGAAAAGAAGTCAGAAAAAGCAGAAAAGTCATCTTGAACATTGTATTTCATAAAGAGAGGTTACAAAGTTCAAACACCCTGGTTTGTTGGGGATTCGTGGAAATGTTGTCCCAGAACCTGGGGAAATAATGCATATCTGAATTGGAAACACTAAATTCAGCCAGGCATGACTAAAAAGAACAATTTTTTATCAGATATCTGCTACCCCTACCTAATGGAAGTCCAGAGCATGAGAAAAGCAAAATCTGAGCTAGCCCGAGTCACTGGTATATGTCCTATTTATATTTAAATGGTAGGGAAAAATAAAAAATGGAGTGAGGCAGTAGGGTATAGTGGTAAGAAATAGTAAGACTGCAGAGCAGATCCATGTTATCCAATGAAAAACGATGATTGAACCAGTGCCAGTTAACAAGGAAAGCCTACACTGTGCAGTGCAGCACTTGGCAGAGAGAACAACTCGTCTCTCTCAGCTCTGCTCATGCGGCAACACTCCTGGTTTCACCTTTCTACTAAGCCTCAACTTCTTAAAACAAAAAAGCAAGGTAAGAAAAGTAACTTCACAAAACGTAAAGTAGTAAGTAGACTGATTTTAAAAGACTTGTGCATTATATTACAAGTTGTTGTGACAGTGGTGATACACTGCTCAAACTTCCTTTCAAGAAGGTAACATAATAACTGTTAGTGGATATGACATAACTGCCATAAACATAACATAGTGAGTAAAAAATAACAGGATTATTTTCATTATTCCCATTCCTACTGTAGCACTTAGCCTTACTTTCTTTACAGTTTATCATATTTCGTGGTTATCTACTTTGGAATGTCACTGTACCTATCATATGTCATCAGTATTTCGGTTTCCTTTTCCTCTTTAGTTTGGTTGATGCTTGACATATCCACATGGTAACTTATGATTTAAAAAAACCCCACAAACCCAAAATAAACAAAAATTTTGCCATTTTTCCATTTCCTGTTTTCAATATATTTTGCAGTTTTTAGTTTGCAGATTTGGGATTTTCAGTTACTGAGAAAAGAAACCTAAAATTTTATTACATTAAAATGTTCAATGCCAAACCAATATACTCTCTTTCTTTGCCTTGTTGTTCCATCTAATTTCATTAGGATGTCTTGGGTTTCAAAGTGTTGAAACTAGGATTGTTGCAACCACTGATGTTTGGTGAAAGGATTTTAAATATACTTACTTAAAATAAAAGAATATGCCAAGAGAAATGAGAAGTGATGCAATTGAAAGACCGTGTCCGATGATGGCCAAGTAATACAAATTCAGAGCAGTCTGCAACACAAGAACAAAACCAAACACCCCTGATGCATACAGAACTATTGGTGGTAAAGCACATACACATTTTTTCTGCATATACATTTACTATACCAGGATTAAGGACATAAAAACGTTACAGATAATGATAAGTCAAGTCAAGAATCTTGCAAATCAACATCTTACTAAAATCTCTTTCTGTAGGGCACACAACAGATTTGTTGAAATCATCACTAGAACTTACCTCTTCTCAGCTAGAACATTAGGTTTCTAATATATACCTTTATGGTTTTTTTTGAGTATTTACATAAATCTGGCTATTTGTATTACTGCACTGGGTGCATTCCTGAGGCCTGATTCTTCTATTAACAAAACTCTTAAGTAACACACATGCTTCCTTCACGAATTATGTATTTTTTCCTCATAGAAGGTTTTTTCTTATAGTTTAAAGATACTTCCTTCAAATCAAAGTGTGATTATGACATCGGAAGTTTAGTTTTCATTTGGCATTTAAGGAAGGGCGTGAAAAAAAGTAGCAATGACTCAGAAATAGTGAAGAATAAACAGTCTTATTAAATAAGCCTACAGCTAAATTACAGAATTATGAAAAGCTGGGTAGATACAACATGTAAAAATAAGGAACTAGTAAATTAGTATTTGGAGTACATACAACATGTTATCGTCAATTCTTTGAATTAATATATTAAATTCCACTAGTAACAACCCTCGTCTGTCAGTCATGCAATCTGCCTCACAACACTTCACTTGTTGCATTAAATGTAAGATTATCAGTTTGCACAGAAGGAAACGAAGATTTTCAGGTTGAACCCTGTACTATCGCAATAAAGCGTAACTATCTGGATTCTATAGGAAGAATTAGAGCATACATGCAAATGCTCATAGACTCAAAAATGTATGTAACCTCTGAACTTACTGTTCAAATTTAAGATAGAATAACTGCAGCCTGCTACATATATTGACTTTTGAATATACAGATTTCAGGTAAAGCTTTAAGAAGGTGATGAGATGAGACAAGGGTACGTCTTTGTACGCGCTAGAATTTTTCAAATTATCTATATTTTTTAAAATTAGATAACTTTTTTTTAAAAAAAACAACAATGAAATATGTTTAAGTGAATCTTTCATAAAAATTTGGAAGTGAAAAAAACCACGGCTTATCCCTGAAACACTAAAGCTTGGCAAAGTACACATAATGACAGCCTTTCTGTGACAGGTCTGTATCCCATATCACGACGTCATTCAGTACCAATTTAGGCAAAGGAACACGTTAAGGCCTTAGAAGATTCCCACACAATTTAGAAATGGCACAAACAGTGGTACAGCGGGAGCTGCTGAGGAGGGCAATAACAGC